CCGCCCAGGGCAAAGATGGCGGCGCCGGCGTCGTCACGGCGGGGTCGCGCCAGCGCGCGCCGTTCCTGGTCCGCCTCTTCCCGGAAGAAAGATGGCCGCGGCCTAGGCGCGTCCCGTCGGAGGCGTCACGGGCGCTCGGGCCCCGCTTGGCGGATCCTGGGCGAGGGGAGGGAGGCCGGTGAGTGAGGGCTCCGGGGCGGGGGGCGTCGGGAGACCCGCAGACGCGCCCTCGGGCCGCTGGACCCTGGGCTCCTGTCCTCTCCGCCCACACCGACGGATGCCGCCGGGGAACTGAGGCTGGGGGAGACAGGTCGGCAGGGGAGTGGGATGGACCCTGGTATTTACCAGCGAGGTGACTCCCTCTCCTAGTCTGTAAAAGGTGCCCTAATTGGTAGGGCTTGGTGAAGATTTGGAATGATGCGTGTAAAGCCCTTGATTTCCGGTTCAGTCAGTGGCAGGTGTTAGGAACACTCTTAGCGGGACTCCTAAAACCGGAACAGAGCTGTGAGAATAAGGTTCGCGTTTTTATCGGCAAGAGATCTAGTTTCGCCTGAACGGACACCCCAGGATGACCAAGAAGTGTCGCCTCCACTTAAGCTGGTCACCCTGGGGCGGCGTTAACACTCTCCCCTGACGTCGTTTCTAGAGGAGGGCGACTCCCTAGTCAAGGGGGCAAAGCCCCTGCCCTTTGAAATCCCATTCTGGTGGGGCAGGCAGGGGACGAGGAACTGAGCAGTTGACTGAGATATTCAGCCGCGCTGCTCCTTTTGTGCTTACCAAGATAGGTAACTGTCGTAAGCGGAGAGGAGGAAGTTTCACTGGACTTCCTGATGTCCGTTCAGTTATCTTGGCATTACTTTTTGTACAGAACGTAGTGTGCTACCCATGAAGATAAGCGGACAGTTGATTTTGCTCTTTCAAGGAGCAAAGTACAGCCTGTTTGGACACAGTGTGTTTTTATGGCCACAGTCAGGGAGAGTTACAGTAACGTCAGGGGAAAGTTCTCTGGGTTTGCACGACACTTTCCTAGCCAGGAGAGCTGGGACGCAGCACTGGAGTCACACTCCAGCAGGAAAGGAAACCGTCCTCAGCCATGGGAAGAAAACCCAGCATGAGCACCTGCGTCGGGGGCTCCCTACCTTGGTGGCCGCAGGCTCATACAGGTCTTGGCTTATGGCGCTGCATTTCCTCCCGGGCCCACCGTAAGGCCAGCGCCACTGGCATCTCCTTGGCACCTGTGCAGAGCATCTCCTCTTGGTTTAATACCCCCGTGACCTGCTTGCCAGAGCTGTGGGTTCCTTGCCAGGCACCACTTCCTCGTGGTCTGTTTACATACAGTCCTGTTGGTTTTGAGTCACGTGCCCTGTTCTGTTCCCATGGGCCCTGTGTTTTTATCGTGCGCTCTTTTGCGCTGACGTGTCCAGGAACGTGCATATTGCGATGTGGCAGAAATAGCTGTATGTGTTCGCTCACTTCTGTGGAGTGCCTGCTGGGTGTAGACGGTGTGACGGCCGTTGGATGGCGACGTGGGGGAGGGTGTGGCGTTCCAGTAGATGTGATTGAAGGGCAGTCACAGCACAGAGAGCACCATGGGGCAGCTGGCGGGCGCTCGTGCCCGTGGGGAGATCGCAGGCCCCAGAGGCCTGGGAAGAGGGACGTTTGCCACCCTGTGAGAGGCCCTCCCTCAGAGGGGTGAGACAGGTGAGGTGAGAGAGCAAGGGCTTGTCGAAGGGCCCAGACGGTGCGCAGCTTCAGAAGGTTAATGCATCAAGGCATCACGTGTCGGGAGAGTAATGCTGGTGAGGAGCAGGTAGCCTCAAAGGGAAGCATCGAGGAAGCAGGTGGTGGCATCTGCTAGTGCCCCCGGACCAGCCGGGGCTCGAGCTGTGTGCCCTCAGGCTGGGGTGTGGTGGCTGTGCTGCTGGCCAGCATAGGCAGGCGCTGTACCTCCTGAGCCCCATATGCCCCAGCTTGGCGGCGGGAGGGCACCCTGGCCTGTGGCCAGTGTGTCCAGGGCCACCGCCGCTGGGCCCTGGGTACTGGCGGCTTCCCTCTGCCGCTCCTCCCTGGAAAGACTGCCGGAGGAGGTGAGGGTCTCAGCTGCACCTGCGAGGACCGGGTTATGTCAGGGGCAAGAAGGAGCTGGAGCCTTCTTTGGGAAGTGTGGAATGCAAGTGTCCGTGGGAAGTGGAGTGGGCAGCACTGTCCCAGCGCCAGCCAGAAGGGAATCTGGAGGCACCCGGAGGGTGAGGGAAAGCAGGAGGGCCCAGGCAAAGGAGCAGATATGGGAGGAGGCTGGGATGGCCGAGTGCTAGGCGTGAGTGCTCGTGGCCCCGGGATCTTTAACGTGGTGACACGGATGGGAAGGTGGCCTTGTTTCATCGTTGCCAGGCCCAGGCATACCTAGGACGACAGACTTCCTGGTGCACCAGTCTTGGTCCTGTGTGAACACGAGCAAGGATGTGTGCACACACGTGCACGTATATGTGGGTGCACACGTGTAGGTGTGTATACACAAACACCTGTACGTGCATGGGCATGGACATGCGCACACTTACGCGTATCTGTCTTGTGCACGCATGTGCGTGTATGCGTGTGTTTGTGTACGTGTGTGCACATCTGCAGAGGTCACGGGGGTGGGAAGGTGGGAAGGGGCTGGTGCCCTGCTGGGCGGGTTTGGGCGTTTGCACTGGCACCAGGCTCAGCTCTCACAAAGCCTCAGGGTGGGGAAGGGGCTGCTGGGTGTTCCTGTTACATCGGGGAAACTGAGGCAGGGGAGGTCAGGTAGCTTAGCCAAGTTCACAGAGCTCATAAATACTGAATTGGGATTCGGAGAGTGAATTACCACGTCCCTGGGGTCAGTGTCGATGGCGGGAGGGGTGGAGAGAGACTGTTCTGGGAACGCCTGCTGTAGGCATTGAAAAGGGGCAGGTTTAGTGGTGCTGGGCAGCCCTTGAGATGGGGCAGCTTTACGTGAGTAGGAGGGAGAAGGGCCGGAAATCCAGCATCTTTGGAAAAGGAAAAAGTAGCACGTCTAGTACGGAACCCGTCAACCCAGAGCTTCTATTTCACGTCGCAAGTAAACGCTTCTTCAGTGAAGTATTTGCTGAGGCTCCCCTGGACGATGGCTGTGTTCTCTTCGTAGACCATTAACGTTGGGGTCTGGCAGCCCTGGGCGGTTGGCCTTCTGCAGCGTCTGGGGTGGCGGGAAGGCTGTGACCCCGGGCCTCGCTTCCTCACCTGTCCCGCCCCTCTCTCCCCAGCTCCTGGCCACACTTGCGGGACATCCCGAAGTCCGGACCCAGGTGGCCATGGCGTCCAGGCGGGCTTCCCTCCGTGGCCTGGTGTCTCACTGCCTCTGGCTGTTGGGGGTCGTCCTGCTGATGGATGTGTCTGCCCGGCCTGCCAACCACTCATCCGCTCGGGAGAGGGCAGGCAACAGGGAGGAGCGGGAGATCCTGCCCCCGGACCACCTGAATGGGGTGAAGCTGGAGATGGACGGGCACCTCAACAAAGACTTCCACCAGGAGGTCTTCCTGGGGAAGGACACGGAGGGGTTCGAGGAGGACGCGGAGCCACGGAGGAGCAGGAGGAAGCTGATGGTCATCTTTTCCAAGTAGGCGCCCAGGCCTGGGGGACGGGGGGCTGTTAGAGTCCGACTGATTTGCTCACCCGGCACATACTGTGGCCCAAGCCCAGGCGGGTCGCATGCTGGGCCTGGGTGGGGTCCCCGGGTGTCAGGGGCCCAGTGCCTCAGCACGTGCCTGGTGAGTTCCAGGCTCCCACGGTATTGGTAACGTGGTGGCACAGTCTTGTGCCAGGACCCAGGATTCGTGGCTCTCGGTTCCAGGAGGGAGACTGAGAGGAGCTGGGACGTGGGGCTGACTCTCTTGTGGGAGCCGCTCTGAGCGCACACAGGTATCACACGGGCCGTGGACACACACACAGGCCACACGCGCTGGCTGCGAGCACACACAGAGGTCACGTGGCCTGGGGCTTTGGAACCTCTGAGGGAGGTGAGGGGCCTCGCGGCTGGGGCCTGAGCTCAGGGGGAGGCCCTGGGCAGTTGGACTGGGCTTTGTTTCTTGAGCCCACTAGCCTCAGCTTCCTTGTCTGTGAAGGGGGTTGTTGAGAGCCCCGCTTTCCCAGGCGTGGTGAGAACGAAGTCCCGGGACCTGCTGTGTGCTTGCCGTCTACTCGCAGGACGGGACGGGGCGGGATGAGGGCGGAGCACAGGTGGCGGGCAGCGGGGCTGAGGGGCGTGGTGGGTTTTGCCCGTGGGTGGGTGGGAGGAGACCGGGCAGCTGCAGGTGGGGGCAAGGAAGGACGGGCGGGTGGGATGCTCCTGCAGGCCGAGCGGAGACGTCAGGAGCCCCGGTCACTGAGCGGGGCTGAGGGGGAGCAGCCAGCAGGCGTGCGTCTGTCCTCGGCGTCGAAGGCCAAGTCTGGGCGCTGGGTGACAGATTCAGAGAGAGGACCGTGGCCAGACCAGGGCCTGGGGGGGTTCAGAGGTGAGGAGAAAGGAGAAGCCGCCAGAAGGCTGTGGCGAGAGAGGGCGTCGCTTTCCCGCACGGCCCCCTCCGACGCCGCCCTGGAGGACGGTGATGGTCAGCTGTGCATCAAAGCCTCGTCCAGCGTACGGATTTTATCACTGTCGTCCGGAGTGAGCTTTGCTGCTTCCAGGGAGCAGAGGAAAGCTGGGGACCGAGCCACCGGTGGCAGGTGGCTTCTTCTTGGTGGTCAGATGGGGGCCGACCCACAGAAGGCAGCGAGGTCGGCGTGCCCGTTCTTTCCTCTCCATGGTGCCCTGGTGGGGTTTCCCTGGATGGGTGGTGCTGAGAGATGTGGACCCCGGAGGCCCGCTGGTGTGAGGTGCTCTGTGCACAGGGTGCGGGGGTGGGGGTGGGGGCAGGGGGAGCAGCAGGTGGGCTGCCCGCTGGGGGCAGTCCGTCGGTGGGCTGGCCGAGACCGAGGACAGAGGTGGGCGCTGGTCGTGACTCGGCTCCTGCAGAGGGCGCCGGGCTCTTCCCGGGAGTCTGTCGGGAGTACCCACCCCTACACTGAGAACCGCCTTCCCGGCAGCCTGGGGAGGGTGGGCCGCACCACTTGGTGGGCCAGGGGCGAAGTGTATGCCCACAGCTAGTCTTTGGGCTAAAAACCTGGTCCAGGGGATCTACCCAGGCCTGCCCTGGGCATTCTCGGGAGAGAGGGCGGCCCCACCCTGGGTCCTGAGGTCCCTGGGGTCCCTGGGGTCCCTGAGGGCCCTGATGGGGTCCCTGGGAACTTTGAACCTGTGACTATCTTGCCTGTTGTGAGACCTTCCATCCGAACAGGTTCAAACTCAGCTGTTGAAGCAGCAGTGGGTTCTTCCTGGCCTGGCTTCTGTGCCTTAGAGCCCTTGGCACTTTTTCGTGTTCGGGGGCCTGGGGGGTCTGGTGGATGGGCCTAGGGCTCTGGGAGGGAGGGGCCCCAGGGGGGCCAGGCAGGGCCTACTGGACAGGTGATGGCAATGGGGCAGAATCCAGAGAGGGTGGGATGTCGCCCAGAGACTCAGTGCCAGGAGCAGGTGCGTGACACCGGACAAGGTTCCGAAGGAGCAAGGCGCGCAGTGGGGAGGCGGGACTCTTTCCTGCTGTGCGCACACCTTAAGTGTTGAGGGTTGGTTCTTTAGCCGGTTGGCACATAGGTGGGCATGGGTACAGAGCGATACCTAGGAGTCTGGTGCCACAGCCAGGCCGGGGCCACGGGGGCTGGCGTGTGCTCAGAGCCCCTTTGGCGTTGGGCCCCACCCGCATCTCACACCTGGCAGGGCTCTGAGGGCCGGGTGTGCGGATGTCCGTGTGGAGGTGGGGGCTTCCCGGCCACACCTGGGTGCCCGCTGGCCTGTGTGCCTGGAGCCACGAGGGGCCTGCAGTGTGGAGAGGCGGGCGCTTGCTCAGGGGTCATGATGCTAAGGTCACATCACCTGAAGTGCAGAAAACCAGACCGGCAGCCGCGTTGCCTCCTGGGAGGACAGTGTCCGTGGGCTCACACGCTGCCTGCCCTTCAGTCTCTCTGAGGGGTGGCTGTCTGCTCTCGCTTGTCATGACCTTGACAGTTTTGAGGGGGACCGCACAGGTGTTGTGTCGAATGTCCCTCGTTTCGGGTTTGTCTCTTGTGTTTTCTCATGGTCAGAGGGGGGTTGTGGCTTGGGGAAAGGACACTCCAGAGGCGAGGTGGCCCTCTTGTCACATCCTATCAGGGGGTCCTGTTGGCCGGTCACCTGGTTCGGGTGGTGCCTGCCGGGTG